CTTATGGCATGCTGCTTTTCTTCGTGAGAGAGAAAAAAGTGGACAAACAAGTCGAAAATGTAATGTGTCGTCACTCTCCCCACTTTCAAAGCGATGTGAAAAAAGCGAAATAAAGAAAATGGAAAGAAAGGAAGACTGAAGTTCTCTCGTGATGGATCTACTTCGCCTCAGAGACAAGAAATAAAATCTGGGAGACGGACCCAGCTGAAACGACTTCAGTTACCGCGGGCACAAGTGGAAAGTCAGCCCGTGCATGGAAGCATGACTCGGAGCTCTTGGCCTGAAAACCTGCTCCAGAGACGTCGGCGTCCTGCTCGAGTGCATGGTGTTGCCTTACGTCGTCCTCGGGTGGAGTTACTGTACCTTGGCCTTCGTGGAAACTTGTGCATGAGACCTTTATTTTGTGATTGATCAAGATCCTTCTTGTATGCGAAGAACACTGACTTTGTCCATGATGGAAATTTGCATGTTACATAAGAGGATTCTACTCAAATACGCAGCAGTGATGAATTTATATACAGAGAAGACTTGGTTTGTAGGTTGTCCTTACTAACACTTGTTGATGTTTATTACTTATGAATGATAGAAAACTATGAATTATACGGAATGTCTGCAACATTAAATTGGTTCAGCACACGTGCGCAGACATATACATGCCTGCACACACTCTCATGTGCGAATACTAATTTCTTATCATCTGTTGATATTTCCAGACTTCATCAATGCATAGGAATATATTCTCAATAAGTATGATTAGGCGGAAATAAATACATGAACACACATACATATACCAATTTAAAACACACATACGCACTGTTTAATACGATCAGCAACACACTTACATATTGAAACACAGACATACACACATTGCACAATCACATACACACACATAATGCACAATCACACACACACACAATGCACAATCACACTCACACACAAAGCACAATCACACACACACAATGCACAATCACACACGCACACAATGCACAATCACACACAGACACACGTACACACAATGCACAATCACACACATATATACTAATTCCAAACACGCACATATACACACAATTCAATAAACGACCAACAACATATACTCACACATTGAAATACAGACACACACACAATGCACAATCACACACACACAATGCACAATCACACACACACACACAATGCACAATCACACATACACACAATGCACAATCACACACACACACACACACACACACAATGCACAATCACACACACACACACACACACACACACACAATGCACAATCACACACACACACACAATGCACAATCACATGCACACACAATGCACAATCACACACACACACAATGCACAATCACATGCACACACAATGCACAATCGCACACACACACAATGCATAATCACACACACACACAATGCACAATCACACACACACACACAATGCACAATCACACACATACACACAATGCACAATCGCACACACACACAATGCACAATCACACACACACACAAAATGCACAATCACATACACACACACAATGCACAATCACATACACACACACACACACAATGCACAATCACATACACACATACACAATGCATAATCACACACACACACAATGCACAATCACACACACAGACACACGTACACACAATCAACAATTACATATATACTAATTCCAAACACACATATACACACAATTCAACACATACGGCCAACAACACACATTCACACATTGAAATACACACACATACACAATGCAGAATCACACAAACACACACACACACAAACACATTAATGCATGCTTACTGGCAACGGTCAGACATGCACACACTGAAATACATACATGTCTACTCTATTTTGCACACATGAAGACATGGAGAAGCATGCAATCAAATAAATAAGCATGAACAGACACAGAGGTACATGCACACAAACACACACACACTCTCTCATGCCTCACACGCACACACATATTTGCCCCACACACAAAATTTACCCACGTACACACACACACACACAAGGAGTCCCTCTCCAACTCTCCTTCCCCACACACGAGGACTCCTGGCGGCCCTCTAACGCCTCCTTGGCTCCCTCAGGTACTGTGGCTCGGACGACCACTACGGCGAGCGCGCCCACCAGAGGACGTGGGACGACAGCTCTCGGTCTCTCGACAACTACAAGCGCCGGATGATGGCCGCTTTCGAGTTCTTCTACAAACTCAACATCAAGTACTACTCGGTGGGTGTTTGTCTTTTTTTTCGTGAGACATAGGTGTTGGGAAGCTGGGGTTGTAGATCGCTGGGGAGAGATTGCTAATGGTTCGTCCACCTTCCCAGGTGAGCGACCGCGACATGGCCCCTGAGGGAGACAGTTACGACGAGACCAACCGGTACCTTGACGAGATGGTGACCCTGGCGTGTGACCTCCAGCGACAGACAGGGATGCGGCCCCTCTACTACAGCGCCGACCTGTTCAGCCACCCCCGCTACATGAACGGCGCCGGCGCCAACCCCGACGCCCACGTGTTCGCCTACGCCTGCGCCCAGGTCAAGCGGGCCATGGACGCCGCTAAGCGTCTGGACGCCGAGAACTTCGTCTTCTTCAATCCTCGCGACGGCTACCAGAGCGTTCTCCAGAGGCAGTTCTTCCGCGACATGTCCCACATGGCGCAGCTGTACCGCATGGCCGTCCAGTACAAGGACAAGATCGGCTTCCGCGGCCAGCTGCTGATCCAGCCCAAGCCAGCTGACCCTCGCCGCCACCAGTACGAGGCCGACGCCATGGCCACCATGTACATGCTGCGCCACTTCAACCTGGACAAGCAGTACAAGCTCTACATCAAGCCCGCCTTCTCACGCCTCATGGGCCGCACCTACGAGCACGACGTCTACATGGCAGCTGCTTTCAACATGCTGGGATGCGTCGACGCCTCTGACAGCTTCCCAGAGTTCAGCGGAACGTCTGACACTTGCGCCCAAGACATTCGCGACGCCACGTTCGTCATGAAGTGTGTCCTTGAACAGGTAACGACATCTGCAAACATTGCCACCTTCAACTTAGGCGTTTTAATTTTGATCTGCGAAAATAATAGCTTTTAGAAATATTTAAATAATTCTTGTTCAACCCCATGCTCTAATCTCTTCTCTGACCCCTTTATTCGCACGTGCGCCCACAGGGAGGTCTCCAGGGGCTTCTCCCTGGGCGGCCGCGTGCGCCGCGAGTCCGTTGAGCCTCGTGACCTGTTCCACGGCCACATCCTCGCCATGGACACCTTCGCCCGCGCCCTCAGGAACGCCGCCCGCATGATCTCAGACGGGTTCTTCGCTCGCAGCCTCCAGCAGGTACAATGCGTTTGTTTCTTTTTCACTTGAATATCAGATCATTTTGTTACAAAGAATTATGCAGAAGGAAAAAAATCACAATTCAAAAAGTTCTTCCTTGTAGAGACCTAAATATCTATCACTTATTGTAAAAAACAATATCAACTTGGTCGGCACTCACTGATCCCTCCCGCCCTCCCCTCAGCGCTACACAACCTACAAGTCCGGCTACGGCGAGCGCGTCGAACAGTCCTCCATGAGCTTCGAGGAGTGAGGACTACGTGCGCAAGGCGGCGAGCCTCAGCCTCCAGCGCCTGGGAACACTTCGAGAACATGTTCAACTACTACGTGTATCCGCCACGCCAGTAGAATCCGTCGGCTGACACCCGCGGCTGTAGCGTAACCACACACCACACGCACGCACACGAAGATAAACACACACACGGACATAATACACACACCCCAGTCGTCTACACACACGCGCGCACCATCTCTGGTGATCCACTTTCCCTCAATGTCGTTAAGCCATCAGTTTACCTTTCATGAGCCACCATATCCTACCCTTTCCTATAGTGTCCTTGGTCACAATACCCCACCATAAACCAGCTTGTACTGCCCGTCACCATTCCATAATTTGCTCCTGTAGTGTCCCCTGGTCTGCCCGAAGTAAAGTACGATAGCTTATATCCTGTTTCAACCCATCCTGCACACACCACAACCACCGTAACCCAGGCTGTGGTTCCAGCCGGTCTGCCTGTCAAGCGGCGGACTCCGGCGGCCCACCGGCCCACCCTAACGACTCTCGCTTGTTGTCCCAAATGGTCCAAGAGGTGTTCAAACTTTCGGTTGTTTCGTCTGCACTTTGAAAACGATCAAATCGTTCCCGAAATCGATCCTAAAAGCAGTACCTCTGAGGTTTTGTGTCAGTACTGGAAAATGTTCGACGGCGGCGCGAGTCTCTTTTTAAGCATTAACCTCCGCGCCGCTGGTCTTTGGTTTCTCGAGGCAAACGAGGCTCGTCTCCGAAGGGATGAGTCGCCGTTGAAGGCACTATGTGGCACTCCAGATCGGAAATAGATGATAGACTGATTGATGTAGAAGGACGATCGAGCTCAGAAACGACGGAAATTGATGTCTAGTATGGCTTGATAGGCTGTAAATGCGTACGCAAATCCGAAAGGACATCCCAGGTCTGTCTGAACGCTTTTTCCCGAAAGAGTTTCCGGATCCAGACCGTCAAGTCGTCCAGCCCAGCGAAGTTTCCCAACAACAGCCAACAACCTTCACCTCTGCAGAGGTTAGCGGTACTAGCGTAACTGTTCACTCTGATCGCCTGAACTTCGCAAATCATACGGTCGATAAACTCCTGTTACTTCAAATTTGCGAACGACTTTACTGTCACGAACGGCGTCGCGGTTACCTCAGACCGTGCTTTGAACACGGTGACCGCCCCCAAAGCACCCTCGCAAGACCCGGCCAAACCCCTCCGGCAGACCGACGACCCCCCTCCGACTCCCCCCCCTAGTCAACACAGACCACAACACAGCATCTAAAATCAATGGAATTCAGAATCTGAATTAGGCTTCGAATCGGTCGCTTGATTAGTCCACACTTCCAGTGACTAAATTCTAAATTCCATCGACTGTAATTCAACTGTATTTTGGCAATAAATACCACTAAATCCATTGTCTTGCTTCGTGACCTCAGCTTCAGTTTGGCTATTTTTGCTTCAGAAAATATTCCCTGTGATACATTATGAATAATTAGATGGAAACAAATACACGAAATAGATAAATTATTCACTATCAAAAAAGAGTTTCATTCCAGTCACACTTGGTCATCAAAAACCTGATTTTCTTCGACGATTTTATTCATGTATATAATATCACATACAAAAATAAGCATGATTTACATCTAAATATGTTTGTTACATGTTGAAAAGTGATTGACAGAAGTGGTGTGTTCTGGGCCCAGAATACCAGACATCGTAAACCAATTTATACATGAAGAGGAACAGAATTTCGTGATCTCTCTCTCATGCAGTAAAAGGAACATAGTATCGAGAACAACTGCGAGAACATGAAGAACACTTAACACTCTATACAAATGACTCCTGATAAAAAACGTGGGTTCAGGTGATTCAAATCAGTTTTCCTGAAATGACAGTTATTCCTGAATCGATTACAACTGATGGTGATCTTCATTTGTCTAACTCTGCTGCACCGAAATTGGCTTGGCTATTAAAGGGATAAGTTAACTTGTTAATTATAATGGAATATTAGTGGCGAACTATTCGTCAATAGGAAGAAGTTTCGCGTGAATGCAAAAAATACGACAAACTCGTTCATTTCTTTGACAAAGAAAGTCTGGTGGATGAGTAAGTAGCACTGTCTGCTTCTGGAACTACAAGTCGTGTTGAAACGTTTAACAAGTCAATGTTTGCTCCTGTCGCTGCGTCAGAAATGAAGGAAAAAGAGTCAACAGTGAAATTCGCGTTTTGATTTGGAAAGACTTGGATTAACTAAACGAGGAGAAAGGAAGAGGCGGATGAAAGAGAGGACACGGAGGATGAATGGGCGAGAAGGGAGAAAGATGAGAGAAAGGAGGATGAGAGGAAGACAACGATAATGGCGGAGAAAGAATCGAGGCATTAAGGGAAGACAAAGAGTGAGAAGAAAAAGGATGGAAAAAGGAAAAGAATACAAGAATGATGAAAAGGAGAAAGATGGAAAAAAGGATGAAAGGAAGAGCAGTATGGAAATAAGAAAAACAAGCAAGAAGGAGAAGAAATAGTCAAAGATAGGTAGAAAAGGATGCGAAAGAGGAGAAAAGCAAGCTGAAAATGGGGAAGTGAAAATAATACAAAAGCTCAATAACGATAAGAAAAGTAATTGAAAAGAAAGGGAAATGAAAAAAGACAGAGAAAGGAGGAGAATGAAAAAAGAGCAGAAAGGTGGAGAAATAAAACGCAGAGATGGCGGATGAAGAGGTACAGTAGTAATAAACCAAAGGCAAACCTCACCACACATCACATTATGTATGACTTCTATGACTACTGACATACAACATGTTAAATAAACAGATTGAGACCTTGCTCGGCTACATCTTGTGCAAATGATGACCGACAGACAAGCAACAGCCTCAGAACCGCCCGTACAAGGAAATGGAAAATAACGTACCTCATTATAATCACTAAAACCAACCAAAAAAACTCGCCAGAACGCAACAAACTCATTTACCCTTTGTTTCTCCGTTTTTCCCTCCAAAAAACTTGAGCAATTGCGTGTAGGAAAGAAAGTAATGGATCCTGTGTAGATTCCTAAACCAATGGAACTTGAGAAACACGATTGGTTACGCCTAAGAATCGACACTGACGAGGTCGTGCCAGGTCAGGTCATTTCGCTGAGGAGGACACATTAAGACATACTGGACATGCTTCATTTCGTGGTCACTGCTGCACCGTCACTGTAGGTCACAGAGGCAGGTCACACTTGCGTTTTGAAGCTTATATGGAAGCGAGACAGCCTTTCTCTTTTGAGGTATTTGACGCTAAGAGTTATCTGTGAAGCACAAGGTAAGCCTCTTTCTCTCTCTCTTAAAAATATATATATAACATAATTGGGTTTGACGAGTCTTCTAGGATTAAGTCTATATATACACACATATACATCTCATTTTCTTTCTTTCTTTCGCAAAGTTTGCACACTATTCCCGCACAAATCCCGCAGTCGTCTTCAGGGAATGTAGAGTATAGAGAAGCTCGTCGTAAGTCACTGCCAAACACCGAGGCTTACCTGGAAAAGAGAGACAAAATTGTAAGAATTACACGGACCGCGAGAGCATGAGTTGAGATTTACAAAATGTGCATCACCTGGAAGAATCAAGAGAGCTGGAAGAAGTAGGAGGCAACAGTCATTGGTAATCGTAAGGGCTCACCTGGAAGAACACGATAAAAATAGAGATATTGAAGTGAAATGGCAAAAAAAAAAAAAAAAAAAAAAGAGAATAAAAGAAAAGAAGAACAAAAAAACATTGACAATCTGTTAGTCATCTGAAAGAAGAATACAACATAAAGAAATTGGACAAACTGGAATTACAATTACAGCCTATTACAATTGCAAAGAAAGTGAAACGTACTTTTAGTGAATTTGAGTGAAAGTGAGAAAGCGAAACAGACGAAGAAGA